AGTCCAGAAATACAGTATAACTCCGTGTATGTAGAATTTGCAATAATATCTTTACATTAAAATTACTAGTAAGACAAGTGTCTGAATAAACATTAGTTGCAACTAAAATAACCTACAGTTTAAAGAATAAACACACAAAGGTGATGAAACATAAGTAAATAGAGCTTGAATCGTTACAACACCTTTCAAATATATAATATTTGATAAATAAAACTCCTAAAAGGTTTTAGTCAACTATTTACACTATTTTACCAGGAACAAGAAAAAAAGAGGAAAAAAAGAAAAACAGAAGTATATTGTTAAGTCTAGTAAAAAAAAATTGTTCGATATAATGACAACTGATATATAAATTATGATGTAAGTAATATCTTACATCTGTGAAATGATAATATATTTGAGGGCTCCTTTAAAGGGGTTTGGTGATTTTATGTTTCGAATATTGATAGGTAGAGGATTCCGTACATCTGGACCCCTATGTCTGATTGATTTCTGGGCTAATATAGTGTGATGATTGACCACATGTAAATTCGATGATTGCCTTCTTGAACCAGTGAACCATTTTATTAGGTTGGAACATTGAAGATAATGGAGTAGGGAACAATTTGATATTGAAACGGAACATAAATATAGCAATTTGGAGGAAGTTAATATCATCAACTTTTAAGCATTTCAGTTTAACAAATAGTTGGGTAGCATGGTCACGATGGTACATTTGCGTACAGCTTTCTTTTGCAGCAGAAGAATATTATTAGTCACACAATTGGATGTTGCCCACAAAATATTACGATAAGAGAAATGTGTTAAAATTACACTATTAGGCAAAAAAATTTGTTTGGTTGTCCTCGATTGCTTTTCTGGAGTAGGGGCGGGCGGGCGGATTTTTTAAAAAAATTTAATTTTTTTTTTTAAACTTCATTTTTTGTGTGTCTTTTTTTTTTTTCCCCATTTTTTTTTTTTTTAAATATTTTTTTTCCATAAAAAAAAAAATCATTTGGTTTGTCAAGCATTTAAACAAACAAAGTCTATAAAACACTTTAATATGGTAAAAGACTAGTTTAATGTACAATGAATATCAAGACCAACACAGAAAGTATTTTGGGCTTTGAAATACAGCACCTTTTAAATCTCCTTTGTACTACTTATAGCTACTTGCGCCCTCTATGTAGCAAACAATGCCTAATCGGTGACTATTGGTCTCCCATAATCCTCTTTAACTTATATTAACTGAGAGCTGATTTGATGAGATAACTACCTGTCCAGTGACCTTGCAGGGTGGTCTAATCCCTCCCGTAAACTAGTACAGATGGGCTTTAAAATGAGTTTAAGAATGCTCAGAACCTGATTTGAATGAACGGCATTTTGACATAGAAAAATAAAAATGGCAAGTTTAATAAATATCTAATTGCGTACTGAAAAGACAAAACTGGCAACGGGAACCAATTTGATCCTTGCAAATGCATAAAATGGTATGTTTGGCATTTAAGATTGCTCCCCCCCCCCCCCAAAAAAAAAAAAAAAAAAAAAAAAAAAAAAAATCTTTTTTTTTTTAAATTACAACAAAAAAATATTACAAAAAAAAATAAAATACGAGCGGCCCGAAAATGACGAGCGGGCGGTCGAGGGCAACCAAATGATTTTTTTTTTTGGCCTTATAAATCATAAGTAATATTCTATGAGATACAAAACATTTTATGCTATACGGTACGCCAATATTGCTGGAGAATGGTGTAACAATGTGTTCTACATGTCGCTCCAGTCAAGTTTTTCATTGATACAGACACCAAGGAATTTTGTTCGTGTCTTTCTTTCTATAGAAATACCATCTAGTTTAATATTTAGAGCAAGGTTGTCATTCGATTTTCTACCTCTTAAATTAATATAATTTGCTTTAAGCACATTGAGAGAGAACACATTACTTCTTTACCATAATAGTCAACTTTGGCAGTTACGAATTTAGTTTCTGTTCAAGAGTGTCGATTTCACGATGAGACAATAAAACGCTCGTATCATCTGCAAAAAAAAAGTATAGTTTAAAGTTCTAGATACATTGCAAATATCATTGATATAAATAAGAAATAATAATGGGCCAAAGTTGGATCCCTGCGGAACATCACATTTAACACTACATTCAACATACTGAATGTCAGAGTTAACAGAGTTCGTAGATAAGTAACTCGCAAGCCATTGTAAAGCTATGCCCCTTATTGCATAATACTCTAGCTTAGAAACAAGAATTGAATGGTCAAGTGTGTCAAATGCTTTGCTGAGATCCATAAATACACCAATGACATGCTCGTGAGCAGCGAGTGCACTTGGAACGCGGTCATAACATTTCTGTAGCACAAGATCTGTAGAATGAGACCTCCGAAATCCAAACTGATAGGGATTCAATGATTCACATTTATCTAAAAACTGCAGAGCCTGTTATAAACAATGCGTTCTAAAACTTTAGAGAAGCTAGGTAGTATTGAGATTGGCCTAGTTAGAAACGACCATCACGCCATCTTTTTTTTATGAACAGGAATCATCCTTGCTAGTTTGAAAGAAGAAGGAAACACTCCGGTCATTAAAGAGAGATTACAAATGTGTACAAGGGGCGTTAGAATTGAACCAATGATGTTTTTTTCAATAAGAATGTACTGATTTCATCATGCTCAGAAGAGTGACTGTTTTTTATTTAGCGATATTGGATGGTTTATTGAGGTACTGGGTGAAGTTGGTTTCATCTTTATGTATCATTTATAAAAATCTTCTATAATTGAACAAATAAATACTCAACCAATTTTGGAAAATTTGGTACAACTTTTCTTCTAATGACATAACCAATGTACTGTGACCAGTGAAATTTGCCTCGCATTTTGTAAGTTAGCTAGTCTGTGTGTGTGTGTGTGTTAGGGGGGGGGGGTGCCACTCTGTATATACGGCCCTAATAGTAATGGAAATATCATCAACTTAAATCATATATATTTAACCCCATACGAAAGCCAGTTTCTAAACTTTGAAGTGGTTATCATAATTATCTTCTCAGTTATGCTATGAATAAGCCCGCGTCCAGGACCTTATAGACACATCTTACACTCGCCAATAATTCTTAATTTTTCCACGGGCTTGTCGATGAGATATGAAATACGCCTAGTAAGATACAACTACATTGGAAGGAGGATCTCACAAATCGTGTTTATAATAACAAGTATGATGATGATGATACTTCGATCAATATTACTGCTTCTACTAATTATATTTTATCAGTATGCGGTACAAACAATTATCTTAAACTTAAATATAAGTAGGCTAAATTGTACAACTATTTCCGAAAAGGAATTCATTAAATGACGTACAAGGTAAAATAATGAATAATTTATATTGATCAATATGCTTTTTTACCGAACCACTCGACAACAACATGTTTACATAAGATTTTAGATGATTGGTATGATTCTTTTAATGAACGTGAAATGGTTGGTACTTGTTTCCTCGATATATCGAAATGTTTTGACTGTATCGATAATAAGTTATTACTGCAAAAATTGGAAAGATATGGTGTTCAGAATAATGAGTTGATATGGTTTTCAAACTACTTGTCTGGTAGAAAACAAACTGTTTATTGTCATGAGAAACTGTCTAATTTTAAGAGTCTGTCTATTGGAATACCCCAGGGCAGTGCACTGGGTCCTTTACTTTTTCTTGTTTTTATTAATGATATAAGTGAATGTCTAAGATCATGTTCATGCAATATATATGCTGATGACGTTGTTATATACATTTCTGATAAGAATATCGAAGTTATTAGGGATAAGCTGCAGGCTGATCTAGAGGAAATTAGTAAGTGGTATAAAAGAAATGAACTAAAAGTTAATATTGAAAAAACTTACAGTATGTTATTGAAACGCAACTCGCAAAATAGTCAGGATTTAAACATTTCTTTGGATGGAAATAAAATCAAACAAGAAAAAAACATTAGGTACTTAGGAATTGAATTGGACGAAAACCTAACCTGGAATATCCATGTAAAGATGCTCAGTAAATCGTTAGCTTATAGAATATTTTCTTTGAAAAAGGTCAGTAATTTCACCGATACAAATGTGTTGAATAAAATTTATAAATGTATAATCCAACCTATATCAGATTATGCATGCTCGATATGGGGGAATTGTTCTGTTTATAACAAGAACATTATTTTTAGATTACAAAAAAGAGCAGCAAGGATAGTTGAACGGAATTTTGATTTTAATGAAAGTGGTCTTGATATTGTTAAAAGATTGAAATGGCAGGTTTTAGAAGAAAGACGTAACTATTTTCTTGCTTGTATAATGTATAAATGTATCTATGGCTATGCTCCATTACGTTTGTGCAATGCTATTGACATGGTTTTTGAACGGCATCCAATGAATACGAGATTGGCTAACTCAATGAGTGTTGTCCTTCCCAAGCCTAGTATTGAAATTTTCAAGAATAGTTTACGTTACGAAGGCGCCAAAGTATGGAATAATTTACCCTCTAACCTACAAAATGCACAATCCATCGACTGTTTTAAAAACATGTATAAAAAAAAACCTATTTCAGCAAATTATGAATAATATCATCGTTGTTTTTGCTCTTTTTGCTTTAAGTTTAATTTGGTACTTCATGATATAAGTTCATTTTATAGTGTGATAGAGTTTTGATTTTGAATAGATTAGTTGATTACTTGATTCCATTATTGTGTTTTTATATATTTAATTAAATATCATGTATTTTTGACTTGGTTTTTACTCAAGATTATGGTCACTATATATTTTTATCATGACTTCATGAGTATTTTAACAATTCTCATTATATATGTATGATTATTCTATTTTGATGTTTTAGTGTAAGCTTTTAATATTCAGGACCAGGATGTAAACCAGTCCTTTCTGATCTTGTTATCCTGATGAAATATGTTCAAATAAATAATAAATAATAAATAAATAAATAAAAACTACCCTATGCCGAGGCTCACAACCGAAACACATGATTACAGTCTAATTGAAGTACTTTTCTGCTTGTTCAGTGAATCCTGAAGCAACAAGAGCTCTCCTCAATTCCACAATCTGGCTCTGCCTCGGAGTTCGCTTTTTCCAGGCCATGAGCATGCTAAGTGTACCCTCGCAGCAGATCAGACCGTCTTGTCTTGTGTTAGAGGATTTGTACTGGTTCCACACTTCATAACCAAAACTTAATTTTGAGGCAAATTTACGCAGATTGTTAGAAATTCCTAGATCTTCTGCAAGTTCTTCAAGCTTCATTTCAAACTTCCTGTCGCCTTGACTGTAAAGAAAAAGTACACATGTGTTAATAAAAACATCGGAAGAAGAAGTCCGAAGAAAAACTGTTGTAAACCAAATTGTGATTATTTGTTTGCGTATCTTTTCGCATTGCGGTATTTTTTTAAAAGAAATCATGCTTGGCTACCCTGGGAGCATTGCGTCAGTCTCTACAAAATGGGTTTGTGCTTTACAGTGAGATAAGGTAGGCATATTCAGAGACGGCGGAGCATCTTCCAAAAAAAGAGTTGGGCACACAAACAAACAAAATGGCGCTTTTTGGAAGAAAAAGCGTTGAGGGCACTTATAAAGGGAAACCTCGAAGCATAAATATTTAAATTGTTAGACATACCCCTATATTATGATTTCATTATCAGGATGATTTCAAGATACTGCTTTAAGTATCATACTTTGCAGTTGGGTGTGATGGTCTCAATATTCATTTGCGAGCGAGCGAGTAGAACAGAATTTAACGTTTGTGAGGACGCATTGTGAAATTTACATCTTATTAGGAGGGGGAAACCAATTTTGATGGAGTCTTAAGCACAATATCATCATGATAAGCACTTGTCAAAGAAATACGGACAGCTCTTATATTTTAAAAGGGCCAATTATCAAAGGTAAAGGGGGCTCTTATTACAGGTAACAATGGACACTTATACAAATATGTAACGGGCACCTGTTATAAAGACAAAGGGGCACTTTTCCTATGAAAAGGGGCACTTTAGGGTTACTTTAGGGTTACTAAAAGTGGGGGAGAGGTACTGTGCCCCCCCCCCCCGGAGCGCCAATTTTTGGCATATATTTGATATTGTCAGCGCAAAGGGAAAGGTATCCTACATTTATAAAGCGACACATTGAAATCCTGCTCGGAAAATTGTTTATAATTAACATTAACATTAACATGTTGGTCACAATTATTCGTATAAAAGCAGATAATACAAATAAGATAGAAATAGTAAAAACTTTGTTAATAAAGGGAAATGATAACCTACAATTTATCCAGGGATGATGTAATGCTAAAATAAGAAAAAGGGTGATTTTTCACCTATATCTTCTTCTTGTTTGTACAAGCACGCATTATCAAAATAGTTGATGAATGCATGCAAAATGTCTACGAACTGAAAAATGTCAATTGCCTAAAAGGGACTAATATATTAACTGGTATACATGGTGATCAATGTGTTAAGTTTATGGGAATAAGATAATTCAGTAGTCAAATGGTTAGCGAGTATCTGCCATAGTTTACAGGAGGGATTAGAACGCCCTGCAAGGTCACTGGACAGGTGGTTATCTCATCAACTCAGCTCTCAGTTAACATAAGAAAAAGAGGAACATGGGGGACCAATGGTCACCGATTAGGCATTGTTTGTTGTAAGAGGGCGCAAGTACCTACAAGTAGTGCAGTGGGCCTTTAAGGAATATCAGTTATCGAACATTGAACTGCTTTTAAGGCTCTGTCCAAGCCTGTTCTCAAAAATGTCAATATCAAGATTACGTATACCTTTGTTGAAACTCTGTTGAGGGCTCGTACTCTGCCTGGTAAGTTAGAGGTAGAATTGGAGTTGACTCTAGATGACATAAGAACATTGCACTCCGTCGATAATCATCATCATTGTGGTTTTATACGATTATACTAGTAAACATTAAATACAGAGATGGAATACGTCTTCAAATGTATAGTGCAAATTGAATCGATTTGGGCGTATCATACGCACATAATTATAAAAATGATTTAACCGTGTATTAATGTGCGAAACCCAATTTAATATATCTTTCATTGAAGACCTTTGGATAGGGCCTATTATGATTATACCATTTACAAAAAAATTCGAGCTTGTGATCCTGTTATGATTCAATGATTTCCCCTTCAGAAGTATAACTTACATATAAATTATTCATTAGTATCTATTGTAATGTTTCTTTACTCACCTCCATCTGTATTGCCTCTACTATGTTTTGTTTCAGGTTTTTTTTTTTTTTTTTTTTTTTTTTTTTGGGGGGGGGGAGGTGGGCTGTAGCTGACACCCCCCCCCCCCCTTTCGCGTATCTTACGTACTCTACCTTTATCATTTCACATTCCCCAGTCACATATTCCCGGGTCACCCAATGGATGACCATGACTGAGGGGTGTACGGTTATAACGAGCGGAACGTGCCATAAACATGAGAACTATACACTCTACATCCATCGAATGGATGTATTGTTTTAAGCAATCAGAAACGCAGGAAACTATACGACTATACAACTATAGAATAATTATGCGACTATACGGCTATGCATCCATCGAAGCACTCGTGAACGCATAATAAGTTCCAGCGTGCGGGCCGAAGTGCCATACTTCTGTACAAGTATACGACTATACAGCCATCGAATGGACCTATGGTTTTAACCAATCAGAAAGCAGGAACCTGTACTTGTTAACAATTTTTGTACGAATATTGACCTGTTTAGCCCGCCATAATACGGTAGTGCCATATGCACGGTATGACTTTATCCGTCCGTTTATCCTTGTAGATCCGTACACCTGGAAGGATGTATCTTCCGCTCCGGGAAACTCCACGCAATTTTCGAACTTTTCAAAATTCGCTTGCCGCGCAGAAATAATAATCATCATGATCTGTCAAGCAAATGTGACAATGCACATCAATTTTGTGATATTTCTTAGACAATCATTGACAAATTTATTATATATGTCTGATCATGTTTTACATCTAATTAAGACGTAAAATAGATGTATTGAAGATCAAGAAATAAGTTTAATAATGTTTTTTTTTGTATTTGTTAACCAGTTTTCATTTTCACTGCCCATAGACTAACAGTATTCGTTGCCTTTACATTTAACAAGATATGACAGGTTTGGAGTCGCCACAAGTCTCTTTTCGTTGAAGTAGTCGCTAATCTTGACAAAGACAGTTTTGTGAAACACGTAGCGGACAAGTTGAGTGACAGCGTCGAGATGTCGTTGATCTTGTTATTATGACGGTTTCGAGAATCAACCACACGGATACCATAACCCCACCTTTCCAAGACCCTACATCATCCGTACCAATTTCGTGGAATTATTTTCTGCCCACGATCGCGAGGGCGACGTACAGGAAACCACTAGCAAGGGCGATAAAACGGTTGTATTAGGGGTTATACCAAGGATGCATGATCTCGATCCCCTTCTCGATTGCTCACCGTAGCCTAGATTCTAGCCTAACTGTATTTTTCCCTCTTCACCTCTTTTGTCCCAATATATCCAGACTTAAATCAATATGTTGTATATCTATACTTTTATTGTACTTTATTTCATATTATTCGTTTTACTTGCTATATCATTGTTTTATGCTTAATTATTTAACTGTTGTCTTTTTCTTCCTACTGTTATTGTATGATTTTGTTTTGTGGAATTCGTATAAATGTGTATTTTTGATAAGACAGGGCCTTATCAATGACCTTTTTTTAATCTGAATAAGATACCCTGTATAAATATGTGAAATAAATAAATAAATAAACACATATTTATTTAGAATAAGTACCCATTAATCTCATAATATAGGCTAATACCATTTAAGCCCCACGATTCTAAATCGAGCCTTTCCGCATTGCTTCCGTGATCAATAACGGACTTTCTTAGTTCGATCATATATATTCGGGAAAATTTCGTATATCCTTGAATGTTCCAGGTTACTTCGCGGTCTCGTCAGCCAAGTGCTACGGAAGTCTTTTTTTAAATTTTTACCTGCCTACTGCCGTCTTACTGCTGTTTTTTGCGATATAGTACCCGGAAATAGATTGATCCGTAGTCGAGAGTCAGGGATCAACCGTAGTTTTACCCCTCAGCTTTCATTTGCGACGGGAGCCAACGACGATGGTAACGCAAGCGAACAAATCAATCTGTCTTGTTGATTTTCACAACCGTTCTCGGCCTAAATATCGTTCGTTCCCTATCGTTCGTCCCTAATGGCCCGGTCACACATAGACGACGCATGGCCGGCGCATTGAAAATCGGAAAAAGTCGTGAGCCCGACTTTTGTCAGGATTTGGGAGAAGCTAGCGAGCTAACACCGAATGCATAGCGTTTTGCTAGCGCGCTGCGCGTATACAGGGCGTGTCATCCGCGTATGTCTAGCGTTGGTCTAGCGCGCTCCGCGCATGTCTGGCGTCCTTTTGGCGTTTACATTCATGCGTCGAGCTCCGCGGACATTTTTGAGCATGCTCAAAAAATCCCGACTCACCAACGATTGGCGACGAATGCATAGCGTTGGTCCAGCGTTGGTCCAGCGCACTCGACGAACGAGTATCGAAGGATGACGCACACCTAACGCACGACAACGCACTGGCCAAAATTGCTAATTTCCAATGCGCTGGCCGTGCTGCCAATGTGCGTCCCCTATGTGTGACCGCCCCATAAAAATGACGGAAGAGCTGTATCGTCGTGCAATCGCGATATAAAGACGGTATCATGATATAGGACAATCACGGTTGAGTGATTTCTCCCGTCGTCTTTAGCTTCCGTCGCGAATTACCGAAAGCACGCGAAATCCGGCTGGTGATGTGGGACTTTGTGACTGGGGTTTTACTCTTACGAGCTTCTACTGCCGTTTCTCCCTCGGTCGCCCTCCTCCTCCTCGGGTTCGCTTTGACTTGTCCTACAGTTTAAAAACAATGAAAATATATATTTTTTAAAATCTTTAGCCATTGCAATCGTTTTACCATGTTAAAAGTAATTTGTTTTCCAATCTTTAATATCCCCATCTTGCTAGAAACGCGATCATGGCTACCATGGCTTCTGCTTCTGCGATCAAAGCGATCGAGGCTTATACGCTTGTTATGTAATACTTCGCAATAGAGTGGTGGTGCGAGCGGGGCGACTGACACGGTGAGGTTTATGTTGGGCTTCTGCGACGATTTCATTCCATCGGTACATAAATTGGGGCACTCGATGGCAGGCGCGTACGCAGGGGGTGTTTGGGGGTTAAACCCCCCCCCCCCCCTTTGGTATTTTTATGTGTGTAAACCCCCCTAAAAAAATCCCTAACCCCCCCCCCTTGGATTTTTTTTTTCACCCCCATGGCTGACCTAAGAAAGGTGACCTTACCCCCCCCCCCCCCCAACGGAGCAAAATGTCAAATTTTCAAATTTCGAGACCAAAAAAAAAAAAAAAGTGTCCTCTTACCCCCCCCCCCCCCCTAATATTAGGAAACTAATATTAGAAACGAAAAAGGTGCACGTGTCAAAGTAACGAGGGCAGTATAATAAGTACTGAAAAAGGGGCACTCATCAGAGAATTAAAACAAAGACACTAATGATAATGTAAACAAGTAGGCATTTGTTGAAAGAAAAGGAGAACATATAAGATTTTAATAGGGGCATTTATCAAAGTTGAAAAGGAGAAGGAGCTGTTGTATAAAAAAAGAAAAAGGAAAAGGGGTGCTCATCAGAAGTAAAATGGTAATTACAAGAAAGGAAAAGGAGGAATGTGTCAAGGTGGCATTTATGAGAAAGGGGAGGGGCTCTTATTAAAAGGGAAAGGGGTACATATCAAAAGTTAGAGGGAACTTATTAGAAACGAAAATGGGACGCGTGTCAAATTAAAAAATAAAAGGGCAATTATCAGATAATGGGCACTTGTGAAAATGGACAAAAGTGGCACTTATTATAAAGGAAAATTAGCACTAATTGTATTGGAAAAGAGGCATTTGTTGAAGAAAAAGGGGTATCTGTCAGATTTGAATAGGGGCTAATTATCAGATGTGATAAGGGGCACTTTTCCGATGTAAAAAGAGACCCTTTTGAGGTACTTCACACCAGTTCCCCTCCCGAAGCGATGCCATTCAATATATTAATGAACATATGCATGGATTAAGGAATGAATGAATGAAATAATGATAGAAGGAGTGGATGATTGAATGATCAATTTTTTGTGACGCAATTTCATATTTCAGGTTCACTTTTACATCACAAACTTTTCCTCCCCCCCCCCATGTGTTAGTTTGTTTTTTTCTCTCTTTGTCTTATCATCATGCGTGTGATCTGTGGGTACTGGGGTTCCTGCAGCAACCCTACATGGATTTTTTTCTTCTTCAGTGGGTGCATATATAACCAATAGAATTTATGTTAAACCTTCAAGTGATTTACCATGGAACCTCCCCCTCCCCTCTTTTTTAATGGTTGCATATTTATACCCATGTACATTTTTAGTAAACCTTCAAATAATGTGTTATCATCGAGCCCTCCCCCCTAATTTGTTTGTCAACTCGTGACAGAACCTATGAGTATGCTTACGTTTTGTCAATAGGCAAAGACCATCATTTATTTTTTATTTTTTTACTTTAATCGGGCACCTCATTCTTATGAAAATTATTTATGTCTTTCCTTGCTAGTCAGCACCCCACACCTTACTTTCACTAAAATCATTCCTCGGGCCCTGCTTATTATTCCCACAGCGTCCCGTACGTCACGCAGCACATTAATTACACTCAAAATTAATTAAAAAATTGGTCAGAACTAAAACTTTCCACAAATGAACTAGCCCATAATAGCCACAGACTCATACCAAAAGATAGCCATATAAATAATTTCATCTGTTGTTATTTCTTGTTTAAAGTCTCTAAATGTCCCGTACGTCACAATCCAAATAGCTTGGACCTGCCCATATATATATATATATATATATACGTTTAGCTGCAATCCAACTCTCTTCCCTCCCCCTATCTTCTTTTCAATTCATACCTATATAGCAAACGATAACTGTTTTTCTTTCTTCCTTTGATTCTTTTTGTCCCTATATTCTTTATTTCTTCTATTCATTTATTCTTTATATCTATTTAAATGTTTACTTCTTTTTTCTTCTTTTAGATCATTCGTATCCCATTTCCTTTCTTCCTTCCCTTCCTTCCTTTTCATCTATGTCTTTTTCATTTTTCTTTCTTTTTCTTTTCTTGCTTATTTTCTTGTATATTTTCATCATCAACTGAAAGTTAAATTCAAGCTATAGGTAGCAGCTGTGAAGGTGGAAATTTCTGGACAAAAAGTTCAAGTTCCACAGGAAAAATGATGTGATCTGCAGTGATCATTATACAGCTTACAGCAGGGAAACGTACGTACGCAATAGCGTTCGAATCTATGCGATACGTCACAGACGGGCCGTACGCAAACACAATGCCGACGTACTGAAAATTCTCACTGTGCGCCCATACGCATGACTATTTTTTCTAAAAGCTTAGGCACCATAGTAAAAAAGAATTTTTTTTAAATATATAAAAAATTACACTTTAAGACCTTTAAGGTACTATGTCCCATTTGCAGGCCAAAAAATGAAAAGGTTAAATTCCAACGGCATTTGAAAGATAATACTAATTTAGAACTTCCCTAAAAAGGTGGGGCTTGAAAATGTCTTCAAGTGGGAAAATAAGGACTATTAGTTGTCAAATCGACTTATGAGCTATAGAGCCAATAAGTAATAGTCTTGATTTTCAGACCATTGTACCGAATCAGTCTTGTAATGGAAATCAGTCTTGTAACTGTTTGGGCTTTTTTAACCGTGTATAAATAAAGATATCAATTCAATTCAATTCAATGCTCATACATTTTATGCTGTGCAAAGATTCAATCAGTTTAATTTAGGCCATCACAAGAAGTGGGTTATTAATGTAGACAAATGCTTATGTACCCTTTACAGCTCATTTTATGTATGGTTTACCAAAGAAGAAAAAAGCCAGTCAGTCACTCAACAGTGTCTGGCAGTGAAGTCAAGCAAGTAAACAGGTTTCCTTGCATAATTTGAATATTAGGACACTGCTAACGTTTAAATTTTATAGATAGGACATACATGACATATTCATAATTCCTGCAAAGTTCTACAGAATTTGAGGTTGGCTGCAAAAGGGACATAGTACCTTTAACACACGATCCATCAACCTTCGTCGATTTGGGGGATCGCAGCAAAATTGTCTTCTAGTAAGATCGGGATAAGGATTGTTAACTTCTCGTGTTTGTGATAGATCTTCGTTGCACGATTAAATAATTACGTTTACCTTGTAATTCGTATTATCTACAATGTTTTACTGACTTGATATGTTCGTTATGTCCATTTTATTTTTATCACTTGAAAAGAAAAATTGAAAAAAGATCAAGAAGAGCAATGAGTTTTGATGATAAACTATAATTACGATTTATAATCTATATAATGTATAAATTCATAAAGCCTGCTAAAGGCGCTTTACGAATTCTCAGTCAAGACAATGCGTATTTTAAAAACTGTTAGGAAGCTAGTAGCCTACCTGAGGAGGATCCTGCCTGAGAACTGGAAAATTTTCTGTGCTGGGGAGTAGAACTGCACAAACCACTCTTCATCTCATCGAACCACTCTTCAAGCATGCTATTGCCTTCTTGTTTGGCTTCTTTGAGATCTCGTTCGCTTATTTTGGTATTTGGAACCTTCGTATAGATGCTGACCGTGCAGGCTTGGAGATTTCGTGGCTGATCAACAGGGAGCTTTGCAAAAGATAAATCAATGCGAACGCTCTGCATCTCACTATACAGTGTTTCCCGAAAAAAACTATACACTTTTGAAATGGCTGCCGAATAACAAATATATGATTCTAGGGAAAAGTTATATATGTATGGAAAGCTCATATACTCAACTTTCATATGACACCAGAAGTTGCGAAAATAATTCATGCTCGGGTGAGCACTGCTCACTTCTGTAAGGGGTATGAAAATTAGGTTGCGCAGGAATTAGCATTCCAATGTGTGAGAGGTAAATCCTTTGGAGCTTACGGAATTGAGGATGATATGACCAATTTATGATCAATTGTGATAAGTTTGGGTTTGCTGAGTGAAATGTTTGGTTTATGGGATTAAAATTTTATGCATGACTGAACAGGAATTGCATTTTTTATTGTAGCACTGTAACTTCCCTGTTAGACTCAGTGGTGTGTTCATGGGAGTCAGGATGGGGTGATGGTACATGTTGTAATTTCCATGTTACAAACTGTTATTCTCTTACATCTGTGACTTTGAATAAAAACCTTCACCCCACATTTCAATTATTGTAAGATTAGTTGAACATCTCATTGATTTATTCAATACCCAGGTAGGGATAATGTAAATCGAATATTCAAATACGGTTTGTTGAAAAAAGGAATGTCCAAGATGTCGGCTACTTATTCCTCAGGTAAATGGTAACTGAAATGAGGGGTGAAGGTTTTTATTCAAAGTCACAAATGTAAAAAATAACAGTTTGTAAAATGGAAATTACAACATGAACCATCACCCCATCCTGACTCTCATGAACACACCACTGAGTCTACCAGG